GCACCGAGCCATTAGGCAGAGTAGGTGTCTCAGGCCCTACAAGTTGGAGTCCGAAAGACTCCACAACTGGTTGGTTGGAGACATTGAAGGATATGGCAACGAACCGACAGCAGTAGCGTTCTTATTGTCGTTTCTTATCAGGTCAGAATGCTTGAACCGATATGTATGCAGAGTTCGATTGCGCACTCTCTGTGTTGACCATAGGTCCAATCCCTGTCCACCTTAAATTTTACCGCCAACCTTTTACACATTGCGAGTTTGGCAGCGATCAGTGAAGTTCACCTCACTGTTTTTCGCTGTAAGATAATGATGTGTTTTCGATCTCTCATTAATTCCGAAGTACCAGATATTGCAATCAACTACACCAGTGTACCTGTGTGAAGACTTAAGGACCATGCGGTAACGTTAAACGGGGACAAGAAAAGGTTAGAGAAAGACATTAATACTTGTGAAGCTTCTGGTAGCCCTTCATGCACTCCGTTGTGAGCAGCACTGGCTCTTAAGGGTATTATGGATTATGCTTGTGGTGGATTACACCGTCTCTCGAAAGATAACCTGCAATGAACCCATTTTACAGTCCAGTCTTCTTGAAAACTACCGTGTTGAGCCAAAGAAATGCAAAGCAAAACACAGCTCATGGATGAAACGGCGGTTTTGCCGAATAGCACGGTCATTTGCCATGCAGCAAAGCACACAACACCAAAGACACGCACGTGAAAAATCATGTCATTGATTGGTTGATCAAAACATACGATTGCCGGTCGATGCGAGGTAAATCGATAAACAGCCCCACAGCGATGAAATCAAACAGCCTTTGAACAAACTGAACAGTAATAAAGGTGACCGTCAATTGCGGCAAAACTAGTAAAAAACTATTTGATTCTGTAGATGATTCATATTTCGTCCAGAATTTAGGAATTAATTAGGTCCACATAAAATTAAGAATAACTTGAGTTACAAATATCAATAAAAATAAAGAGTGCTGTTCCTATCTCTGAATCTGTGGTATGAAATTCAGCTTTGACTGGGAAATATTGCCAAAACTGGGAAGCACGAAAACATCCTCTAACGGTAAATCAAATATATAGAATGGAAAACAGCACATTGCTTGTCTTAGGAATAATTTTGCACCAAATTCTACTAATCTCACTGATTTTCCCCGCGACTTCTCGTCTACCTTGGAAGCCTCGAACAAGATTTTGATTTGAAGGATGCTCCGCCCAGGTTCCCACAAAATGTGGTGCGTTTGATCATCTTTTGTGGCAGTTCGAGGAGGCGGCCGTTGGTGAATGACCGAATAGGTCTTTTTGTGACTTATGAATGAATATAAGGCTACTACTTTTTGATTAGCCGCAGGTGGTTGACTGTTTTTCTGTTAGTAATCATGAACTGATGTAAGTGAAAATAATTAAGGGATAGAATACATAGTCCTGATTTTCATTGAAGTCTGTGCATGAGAATAAAAGAGGATTGAAAATACGGGATGTTAATACATCATCGTATCATTGTTAGGTCAGAAGGAAATGATGAAAATTATGTCCATAGAATAATTTTCTCTCGTGTTCTCTAGCACATCCTATTCTTTGTTTCTGGTTAGCATCCAGTTGTGGAGTAATTGTACCAAGATTAATTCGGAACATAAAAACAACTGGTTCTTCAAGTTCATGAGTATTATGATAAACTACTTTTGCGTTGTGTTCACGCCCAACAAATGTCTGTAACAAATAAGTATTCAGGGTTTTGCACCGAGAAACTACAGCGGGTATTTCCTGATGGTTAACCTTGACGAAGAGGCTTCTCAGATAACAAACAAGCAATTATCTTTGTTTCCAGTGAAAGCTTTGAAAACTAATATCAATTTACCACATGCATCCGAGTTCCGCTTCAGGCAATAAGAATATGGTTGTTACGTTTTACAAACTTAACTGGTTAAACGAGTAGCAGAAACCCGCAGAGAATTTGACAATCGCGAAAAGAAACAAGAGGAATTTCGCATCAACGCTTTTGGGACGTAGACCGTGCAATGTTTCATGTTCACACGCGAGTCTGGTCATGGTTAATGGCTTATCGCGATTCTTGTTGCCTACTCGACCGACCGAGGTTAGTTGCCGTGGTGTTCGTTCATTTTCGCCCGAAGCGAAATCGGTCGACCATCGAAGGCAGAATGATGCGAGTTTTGGTGTGCACACAAACCCGGGGTTCTCCTTCACACAGTCGCTGACATTCTCATTGCTAAGATCTTTGTCCAACTACCACTAATCCTGGAGGCCTGTCCATTGTACTCGCCGTTGCCTGCCAGGCGCACCATCGCAGTGTCATCATACCAATCCTAGCCCGTAGATTGGAATGAAACGCTCACATCTAGCTTCATGTCTTCCTTCAGTGGATAAAAAGGACCCGGTGGTTAAACCTTACGCCGTCCCGCCTGGAGGAGGTAAAGGGACCGCATGTATACAGAAGGCTTGGTAGATGTACGTTAATTTAAGACGTATACAGCGCTGCCGAGACATCCGACTATCCGCTAGGGTTACGGGTATGGAGCCGTGGTCCAATTGGTTAGGGCATGTCACTACCACTCGAGAGGTGTAAACGCCTTGGTGACGAGGATCCAATTTTCAGTGATGGAAACCAGTGGACTGAACCCGAGAACCTGAATTAGTGAACGCCCTGCTAGCGTGAGCGAGGTCTTTTGTCGGGGAATAGTGAAGATGCCTACCACCAAAGTTGGGTGACGGGGTTTAAACCTCTCGCCCAAAGCACGCAAGTGAGCGAGTTAAACGGCTTCACAGCCACCACCTCACAAGACTGTACGAGTCTGTTGAGATGACCGAACTACGCCGAGACTAGGTGAATTGTTGGGTGATTAAGATCAAACACTATCGCAAGGGCTTGATCTCTATAAAGTGTGATGACCATGTGTTACGCGTCTCCCCAGATAGGTTTCCCCGGTGAGTTATACTGACAGGGTATCGAAAACATTTCATGATCACAAGCTGAAATCAAGATAGAAAAAACTCGGACTGTTATCATTAAGCTTCCCTGTTTTGCACCCAAACAACGTAATCAAAGATTACACACTGTCACATAGATGAATGTCAAAGATAGTAGCTCATATGCATCCATTCACAGCTTGCTGGATTCCATTCCACAGCTTTGTCTTGCAAGCTCTTTCAGCGTTTTTCATTCCCTCCTATCGCATTGGTCGATCAAAAAGGAAGGTGGTAGCCGAAAGACAGTAATCGAAACTGGTGCAAGAAAGCCCCAGTTAAACAGCCGTGGCAGTTAAACTCTTCAACGCTTACTAAATTGATCCCTTGAGGTGGCACTTGTTCACACGACACGCATCAGTCATAGTGCAGTAGTAGTTAGACTAGCTCTACCGAGTGGTTCACCAACGCGAATTTCACCACCAATACGTGCAGAATATGGTGAAATAAGCCGCAGTGATTAGAACACGAGTTGGGCAAAGGGAATGAGACAAACGGCACTGAACAATTCTAACACCCGAGATGGAGTTGATTGGGATGAGGTACCTGTTCTTCTGGAGAGGCGTCCGCCGTACTCATTGAGCTCTACGTGGGGTGAGAATTACACTGATTTAAGGAGATCGGCCCATGATCTGGGTGGACGGTATTGGTTATAACTATTTAACCAGATCAAATCGCTCCGGTTAGATCAAAAAAGTAATTGATTTTTTGCAAGCCCGAAGTAATATGGTCATGCACAGACAGCGCACCGGATGGAATTGATGTGCGAATTCATGTGTAAATCAGCAACTGCAGAGACAATATTATCATCAAGGATTCCAGTTTTTCGGAGGTGCGTTATATTCAAACATACGAATGCAAAAAAATTTCTAAGGGTAGACAGCTGACGATAAGCATGCCCATACAAGCCTTTATGTTACATAATCGACACTTTGCAGAGTTCGTTTACAGCCGTAGCAGTGTCAGCAATTGCGGAGATCATCCTTACCCTGTCAGTTAGTTCAATGATCTTGAATTGAAAAGCCATTACTTACCACCAGATAAAAATATGATAATTCAAAAGACAAGAAGTTGAAAAGTCACAAGTTTACTGATTGGGTGAACACAGTGTGATAGAGAGGAATGAGAGCACACCATTAGAAGGTTGAAATTAAAAAAAAAGATTCACAAAATGAACGGCGAATGGGTATGTGACTGGTGACTGGATGGACGGACAAAAGGACCGGGAAGTGGGGAATGGGAAAATTGTTTGTCTACGGTACGTGTGGTCGGGTTTGAAAACTGTACAAATGGATTTCACAAGGCGAGACTGAGAATAAGTGTCCAGGAAATGCGTTGACAGGGTGCAACTTTATTCCTACGGATCCGCTTTCATCGCGGTAGGTTCTTTGTTCTCTTCTGATGCACCTTTGGCTTGGGATGCCTTAGCAGAGGATAGTTGTTGGGTCAGCTGAGACAGTAATCCCGTATGACTCAACTGCAGGCGTTGTGATACGGGAGGCAATCGGGGCAACAGGTTAACTAAACGAGACACGTCCTGCTTCATGTCGGCCAACAAGTCCTCCATCAACGTGAGCACTGAAAGGGTCAACAAAAAAGACGTTAGGTAACAGTTCGGTCTACAGTAAAACAACACAGCGGAACAACGGGGAATCGTATTGCGACTACCTAGTAGGAAATAGTCAGGCACTAATTATAAGTGAATCGTATGCTACAAACTGTGGAATTAAGAACGAATGAAACAAAGGAAATTTGGCCATTATGCCATAAAGAAGCACATATTATTCCAATCAGTACATAATTGCAGACAAAAAAACGCTACTCAGTAGTTGATATAAATGAGACCGGGTAAAACAGTATTGGGAGAGCGTGCACTACCCGAGGATGGATATAGTGCCGTACTATAGGAAAAGCTCTTCCGGAGTGTCTTCGGAATTGTTCAGCCATTAAGTTTCGATGATCGTAATCATACGAGAGATAATTCTACTATGCTACAAGGAAACTAATGAACGACCTGCTAAATTGTTAGCAAAAGTCAGATTGCTCATTTCCTATTGGGCTTAATAGTTCTGCCGCAACAACTACGAGTGAGATTGCTCGCAGGGATACCACTTGCTCCAGTGAAAAAGCTTCACTGTCCGGGATTTGTGGAGTTGTAATCCTATTCTATAAACTATTTGATCGAATTCGAGTGAACAGAAAGACACCGTGAACAGAGTTGGTAAGTCAGCAAATACCCTCGACTTATTGCACAAACTAATCAATTATTCAATTTGGTATAAACTCACCTTTGTGCAACAACGGAACCAGAGCCTTGTTACCAGCCAGTGCCTCGTTGAATAGCTGCTGTTGTCCGGTAGCCAAACACTCCAGATCAAAGAAACGCCTATTTAAATTTTGCACCGAATCGGATGGATCTATTGAAATACCTAGTTGTGCGGCTCGCCTCAACTGTTCTTCGATTATCAAGGCTTGTTCCAGTAATTTGAATCGACGAGCGAGAAAACGGTTCTTCAGTTCCAAGTAGTTCGGTTTGTGTACCTCGTTTTTGAACGGTTCGTTGACAATTATGAATCGGTTGTCGTTGTGGATGTCCTAAACACAAAGTCCGAAGAAAGGGGTCGTTCAGCGAGAAAAACTGCATCAAGGAACGTGCGAGAATGGAAATAATGTATCAGCTGATAACTCTAAAGATTTCAATGAAACTGCTGACTGAAATCAGCAGAACATACGTCCTCCGTGCTCTCGATCGTTGGACAATACACCCAAACATCGACTTCGTTTGCACATTCCATCTACAGTAATGAATTAGGTGTCAGGTCATAAAACACAAATCACTTCTCCACAATTTTGTGCCTTGGAGGTGAATTATTTGTGTTCAGACCATCATCACTTTCTTCACGGCACAGCTTTCAGTTCGTTAATTAGGTACTTCTATCCAAGCATCGCATCATTTTTTGTTCGTTGCTCCTTCTGACCCAAACTGTGAAGCGATGGAACTTCTGAATTCTTCCGAAAGGCACAGACCCTTATATAATCTGGCTGAAAGCTTGTATATAACTCGCTAAAGCTTGAA